CATTTCTATCAAAGCTGAATTTCTTCAACATCTTCTACAGATAACTCCTCTGTATAAGCTTCAATCTCCCCTTCGTCCTGTCTCTCTCGATCTCCATACCCAATATCTTCTTCGCCTCTCCAAGATCCTTCATCTCAAACTCGGATGACAGCTCCTTTTTCAACTTTCGAATAGCTGAAGAATTCCTAGAGGCAATAAGCATATCATCAACATATAGTAACAAATAGATGTACTCACCATCCTGTAGCTTGTGCATGTAAACACATGGGTCATATGAGCTCCTCATGTACCCTCGACCAATCATAAAGCCGTCGAATCTCTTGTACTATTGTCGTGGCAATTGCTTCAATCCGTAAAGAGACTTCTTCAGCTTACACACCAATTCTTCCTTTCCTGCAGCTTTGAACCCCAAAGGTTATGTCATGTAGATCTCCTCATCTAAATCTCTATGTAAAAAGGTTGTCTTCACATCCATCTGGACCAAATCCAAATCCAGCTGTGCCACCAACGCCAACAGAATCCTAATCGACGAATGCTTTACAACAAGTGGGAATATCTTATTATAATCAACGTCCTCAAGCTGTGCATAACCCTTGTCAACCAATCTGGCTTTGAACCGAATGTCCCCAATAGAAGATCCCTCATTCTTCGCATATACCCACTTGCAACCAATAGCTTTCTTACCCTTAGGTAGCTTTGCAAGTTTCCAAGTGTCGTTCTTCTGAAGAGATCGCATCTCCTCCTCCATAGCTTCCCTCCACCTGATCAAATCGGGGCTAGACTCTGCCTCCCTGAATGTGGATGGAACCATATCATCAACGATCTCCACTGATAATATATATGCGACCATGACATCATTATACCTAGCTGGCCGATGAATCACTCTTCTAGGTCTATTCGCTGCAATAGACTCTTGAACATGACCCTGTTCCTGAGTCTCACAATCCACTGTATCTTTTATCTGCCCGGCTGTCATCCCATCTCCTCCCAGTGTCACCTCTGTAGGAGCCTCGATGGATACAATGTTCTCTAGAGTGAGTGGAGTCACATCATCCTCCACCTGCTGCGATATCTCCCGAATCTGGTCTTCCTCCACCTGCTGAGGAACTTGAGGTTTCATCATGTACGTCTCCTCAAATGTGACATCCCTGCTAATAACTATATTCTTATCATGTGGATCCCATAACTTGAAGCCTTTAACTCTATCTCTAAATCCCACAAAGACTGCTTTCCTCGCCCTCAGATTCAATTTACCATCACTAACATGGTAATAAGCAGGATACCCAAATATCCGAAGCGACTCATAGTCACTATCTACCAAACCAGACCAACGCTCCAACGGAGTCTTTCATGTATCGCGGTGCACGACAACCTATTCACGAGATGACTCACATAAACCAATGCCTCGGCCCAAAAGGATCTTGGCAATCCACTCTGCGTCATCATACATCGCACATTCTCCAACAAGGTACGGTTCAATCTTTCAGCCACCCCGTTCTGTTACGGTGTCTCTCGAACTGTGAAATGTCTCCTAATGTCGTGATCCCGACAAAACTACAGAAATTGATCACTCTTATACTCTCCACCGTTATCTGAACATAGAGTCTTCACCTTTCTACCTGTCTGTAGCTCTACTTTCTTTTTTCACTCCATAAAAATATCCAGGACCTCATGTTTATGCTTCATAGGGTATATACAATTTCTTCTAGAATAATCGTCAATGAAAGTGATAAAATAGTTGGCCCTACCAAGTGATGTATGCTTGGAAGTGCCCCAAACGTCTGTGTGAATATAGTCCAATATACCTTGGGTATTATGAATAGCGGTACCAAACTTCACTCTCGTCTTCTTCCCAAGTACACAGTACTCACATAGCTCCATCTTGTAGGTCTTAGCACCTTTCAATAGCCTCTGCTTCGCTAGTACCTGCAGGGACGTATCACCAGTGTGTCCCAATCTCATATGCCATAAGCGGGTAGTTCTGTGGTAATCGAAGTTGCCAGACCCCCTGTTACTGTCTTGCCCTTCAAGTAGTAAATGTTGTTTTTCCTAACACCTCGCATCACCACCATGGACCCCTTTGTGACCTTCAGAGTCGCATTCTCCAAGATCACCTTATAGCCAGTTGCCTCCAAAGTTCTAAGCGAAATAATATTCTTCGTCAATTGAGGAACGAATCTCACTTCTTTCAGCTCCCGAGTCACCCCATCACATATTCAGATCTGTACTGTACCAATACCACCAATAGGACATATGTGATCATTACCCATGAGCACGACATCCCATCTTTCTAACTCCTCAAAGCTGGAGAACCAATCCCTTCTAGGACAAATATGGTATGTAGTACCAGAATCCATCACCCACTCCGTAGAGTCAGCGTAACAAACTGACGGTAATGCAGAGCAAGAATAGCCTGAAGAATCCGTATCTGAATTGTCGTCACTAGCCTTGACAACATTCATTTTCGAAGCTTGTACAACTTTTCCTTTATTCTTCCCAGCTTTATCTTTCAACTTTGGGCAGTCGTTCTTCCAATGTCCTTCTTCTTTACAAAAACAACACTGGTTCCTACCAACACTCTTATGGACACCTCTATTCCTCAATTTTGAGCGGTTGAACTAGCGACGGTTTGAATCACGACCTCGATCTGGTAGTGCATTTCCCGATGCCTTCTCAGAGGGTTCACCATCATTCTTCCTCAACTCATAATTCACCAAAGCTGAGGTCACCTCCTTATAGCTAACAGTAGTTCTTCCATTGATCATAGTGAGAACAAACGTACCGTAATCATCCTCGGGCAACGAAAATAAAAGTACCATCGCATTGCCTTTATCCTCAACCATGATATCCACATTGTCCATATCTGAAAGTAGCTTCATAAAATTGTTGACATGCTCCCTGATGGAAACTCCTCTCTTCATCTTGAATTGGTAAAACCTCTTCTTCAAGTGAAGCCGATTCTCAATGCTCTTCGTAAGATACTTCTCATTGAGTGTTTCTCACATTCTCTTCGTCGACGTCTCGTTCATTACGTCATAAATAAGATCCGGCATCAAGTATGACCGAATAACTCCACAAGCCCTACTATTCATCTTCTTCCAAATCTTGTCCTCCATATCAGCAAGTTTCTCTTGTAACTCAAGAGTCTCCTCCAAATTTTGTGCATCCAAGGCGTCCATCACCTGACACCTCCACAATCCGAAATTAATCTTGCCGTCGAACTTTGAAACATCAATTTTCGTGTTATTGATGCTCAGACTCTGTATCGCCTTCGTAAGAGACAAACTTGATGTGCTTGCTTCTCCCATGTTGTCGATCTAACTCTTCAGATAGGAATCCTTCACAGAATCCTTCGAACAAGCTCCCAAATCCAATCCAGAGCTCTGATACCACTTGTTGTGTGCAGTGGAAATTTTGGCAGCACCTCGGCTGCACAACAAGAGAGTAAGATCACAACGGAATTCCTGTTTCATAAAAGAAACAAGAACCGAAAGCAAAATATCTCAACAAAGTGAGATATCAGCTCTTCCTCTCATCAGTTCTAGGACTGACCTGTCGAGGGAACCTACAAGCTATTACAAATCACGGTAAGAACACAAATTTAACGTGGTTCGGCAAATTGCCTACGTCCACGGGGCAAGGAGGGGGAGATCTACTATTAGAGGGAGAGAATACAACTAGGGTTTATAATCACACAATCTAAACCCTCACACAAACTCTCAGATCCCTCACACTAATACTCTCTCAATGGGATGCACAAATCAAAGAATAACTGCAAAAAGACTTTGCTTTTTCTCTGTGAATAGCCGCCAAAATCTCTGCGCCAAAGTCTGTTCTTTTGCACACAAATCAGCCGCAACCTTGCACCTCTGCCTGTGCTCAAAATCAGCCGCAACCCTCAATTGCACACCGCCTTCAACCCTAAAAAAAATCACGTTGATTGATATATATAGTCCTAGTGCAGCAGAAGTCGGGTTCGTGGGCTCTTCACGCGACAAAAATGCGTTCACACATTGGTGGGCCCCCACAACATCATGTGTTCACAGGATCATTGTAGGAGAGAACCATTTCCTGATTGCCTGGTCTGATACCACTTGTTGATTTGTGAGAATGATTCTGATTCACTTGTTAAGTCAGAAGGGTGGTGAATACTAAAAAATATATTATTATTATTTCTCTAGTCATACAACCTTCTACACTCTCTCTACTACAAACTACTATACTCTTTTACAACCACTCACTATTTTTTTCGCCCTCCCTCCCTCCCTCCCTCCCTCTCTCTCTCTCTCTCTCTCTCTCTCTCTCTCTCTCTCCCCTCCCTCTCTCTCTCTCTCTCTCTCTCTCTCTCTCTCTCTCTCTCTCTTTCTTGCTTCTGGGATGAGATCCGCCAAAGGCTTTGGGGCTCTCTTTTCTTGTTCTTGCTTCTGGGATGATATCCAACAAAGGCTTTGGGGGGTTATTTATAGCATTGGTTTTATGGTTGTAAGTACTGTAGATAGGTATGTGGTTACTGTAGAAATTGTGGCTAGAATAGGTAAGGGTAGGTAGCTCGGTGATGATTTTCACAGTTTCCAGATATAAGGATGAATATTTTGTTTAAGAAGCCAAAATGAAGAAAATAAAATTATTGAAAGTATTAGCAGGTCACAAGAAAAAACTTGTCATAAGAAATTTGTTCGAGCAAAATGATTTGTTTATGTTTGGGGAGGGTGAATTTGCTGAAGTTATTGACTGGGGAAAAGTTCACAGAACCTTCTTGAACTTTAACTTTAGTGTGATTTTCACATGACCCTCCTGATATTTAATAATATAATTACAGAAAATCTCCTTAAATTTTGAGGAAGTTAAATAGGGAAGAGAGGTTCTTTCACACCCCTAAACCCGGCCTTATTGGGCTCATGCAAGCGACCCTAAACCCGGCCTTATCTTTCTTTTACTGATTGTGGGCCTTACCTGGCCCTAAACCAGGCCTGTTCCTGAGGCTGAGTGCTGGTCCATTTCTCGAAAAGAACCAGATTCGTTTTCCGATAAACCTTCGGCGGGGTTTTAGGGTTTAAGCCCGGATGCTTTGAACGCTAAAGCTCCTACCTTTACTTTATAACGCAGAATCCACAGAAATCAGTCAAAAAGGGGGGAAATCGTGAAATTCAAGGTAAAGAACGCTTCTTTTTGTTAAATTCTCCATAAAATTGTCCTTCTGTTGTTTTACTAAATCGATTGATGAAATGCCCTACTAGAGTTTTCTCTTTATTTTTTGTTAGTCGCCTTCTTTATCATTTACTGATTTTTTTATCATTAACTGATATTCTAGCAAAGATGAGATATACTCAAGATAAAAATAGAGCTTATTTGTTGTTAAAATTCTTCGTAATTTGTGGTAATTTATCCATATGTCACCAGTTCCACTAAAGGAGTGCCCTTTAGGGTTCTCCTCTATAATTTCGTCTTGTATTTTTGTTATTGCTTTTGATTTATTGCAAAAGAATTACCATTATCTGGTATTTTTAGTACCCAAAATTTTCTAAATAACCAAAAAGTTGCTACTTTAAAAAGATATCTGAAGGAATTTCTAATTTCTTTTCAGGGATAATTGTTTATAAAGGAAGAACAAGATGTCTGCATACAGTGCAGCAGTGATGGGTTCTCTTCATCACAATATATTGTTTACGGTTCCAAGGGTTCTCAACATGAATGAATACCGAAATTGCAATCAGGTTAGCTTTACTCAGGGATGTCGAGCTGCAAATGTTAAAGGGATTTTGGTTACTGGAAGCCCAGCTTCATCTGCCTCGGCCTCAGATTCGGAGAGCAGAGGTATACATGCGTAATTATGTTACTAAACTTAGCAAGGACAGGGATTGCATGCTGTTGTCATAACCAGTGCTGTGGTTTGTTCTTTATGATAAACGCACAAATGATAGCTTAAAAATGTTTGTTTAAGGTAGCACCTGAAGCTCTGAAATCTGGGGAGATGTTTGAGACCCAATTTAAGGCTGTGTAGAAGTTACGTCAGATATGGGTATGTAGGGCCTTCTGTAAGGCATCCTAATGACATTTTCATTATTTCTGCAAATAGTGGAGCTTATATGTGCCTTGAATTGTACAAGGTGAAATGCTGACATGAATAATGGTGTGAAAGTGTAATTTTGAAGAAAAAATTTAGTAAAGGTGTAGTTAGCTGAGGGCTTGATTCTAAAATCTTTAAGGATTTTTTTTACGGAAGGCTGAGGTGGAGATGATTCCCTGGGTATGGCCTATTTTATTTTGTAATTTCTCGTATGTATACGTTGGTGCAGTGTTGTTATATTATGTGAGATGAGTCTGGTGGTATTTTGGTTAAGAGATTTGATTGTACTTGTGATGTAGAACACACAGCGGACATATTTATGGAAAAGCGGGATAGACACAAGCCCAAACGCGGATCAGGTCGAGGAAAATAACTTGTCACGAAGAACGTGTTATATCTTTCAAATCGTAAGTCGGAATTGAACAAATTATATATGAAAATCGCGTATTTTTTGAGACGGACTCAACCAAACCCATCGTTTTTTGGTTTGCTGCCGCCCGTTTCGCTAAATTCTCTCCGGATTGAGAGATCAACGTTTTTGTTAGTTTTTTTTACTATTTTAGGTAAAGTTTTAGGAATCTGTTTTGATTAGGAAGCAAATCCGGTTTGATCCCAAATTTGACCTATTTACTTTCCTAATTCTAGGGAGTCTTTTTAGGAAGAGTTTTGTTATTTTTATTTTTGGTAAAGTTTTGAGTCATAGACTCATAGTAGGAGTCTTGTTTTTTTCTATTTAAACAGAAATTGTAAGCCCTAGAGGCATATCTTTTCATCAATAAAATTTCTCTTTTAATATTTTCTTTGCGGATTTGGAGATCATTCTTTGTGGATTCAGAGAACACCCTTGGTGGATTCTAACATTTTAATTTTGCGGCTAACAGAGACATGTACATCCGATCCGATGGTAGGTGATGAAGACATTTTTTTTTCAAATTGAGTTCGATTTGCTGAAAACCGATGTTAATCAGATGAAGACTACTATAAAGAGACTTGCGTCGCCAGTGGAGCGTCTGAATACAGGAGTTCGAAATCACGTTGATGGTCGCCAGCGACGTGATCTGACTCCATATGATGAATTCAACAGTGACGATGAGAACTATGAAGCCCCACGTCGTGATGATGATCACAGAGACCGTCGACAAAGGGATAATTGTGATGCGGGAGGGTTCAAGATGAAGATGGATCTGCCATCTTTTAATGAGCAACTGCATATCGAAGAATTTCTTGATTGAGTTGCAGAAATGAAGAGGTTCTTTGAGTATATGGAGATCCCAGATGAGCATAAGGTAAAATTGGTGGCCTACCGACTAAAAGGTGGAGTATCAGTTTGGTGGGAATCAGTTTGCATGAATCGATCCCGTCAAGGAAAGCCGAAAGTCAATATATAGGAAAAGATGAAGAAATTACTGAAAGCCTGTTTCTTGCTGGGTGATTATGAACAAGTCTTATTTGGACAATACCAGAATTGCAAATAAGGTGGAAGAACAGTTGATGAGTACACGCATGAGTTTTATCGACTGTCATTCCGTAACAATTTAAATAAGAACGAGGCCCAACAGATGTCTCGACATACTGGGAGATTGATGATAGCAATTCAGGATCGTGTATCTTTGCAGCAGACATATATCTTGGCAGACACAGTTAGCCTAGCTGAAAAAGTGGAGCGACAACTTGGACGGAATAATAGAGGATCGTGGGCAGCTTCTGACAGGTCGCGTAAGAACTTTAATCATGGTGGGAATAAACAATCTCAAACAACTTCTGATCAAGATGCTATAACTAAGAAATGTACAGGCCCAACGATAATAACAGCAAAGAAGACTACACCACCGAACCCATATGTCAAACCCGATCCAATCAAGCGCTATAGATGTGGTCAACTTGATCATCGATCTAATCAGTGCCCTAAAAGAAGCGTTCTGAATATGGTGGATCATGAAGAGGAGGATATAGATCAAAATGATGTTGAAGACTATGGAGGTGATGGGGTGAATCCTGATGATGAGGATCAACTCTCGTGTGTTATGTGGTGACTATTATTGGCTCCAAAGACAGAAGAACCACCATAACGATATAATATCTTCTGCACGAGATGCACTGTGAAATAAAAGACTTGTGATGTTATCATTGATAGTGGTAACAGCGAGAATATTGTCTCTTGGCGCATGGTGGAGAAATTAGGTTTGAAGACAGAGAAACATCTCGCTCCCTATAAGATCAGTTGGATTTGTAAGGTAATGACGAGCAGGTTAATGAGGTGTGTTGGATATCTTTTTCTATTTGTCAAAATTATGTTGATGAGACATTGTGTGATGTAGTTAAGATGGATGTTTGTCATATGCTGTTAGGCAGACCATGACAGTTTGATGTTGATGCCATGCACAGGGGGAAGGATAATGTTTATATCTTCAAGAAGGATGGTCGCCGAGTTGTGCTTATGCCTCTTACAGAGAAGGGGCTAATCAAAACAAATGTTGCTGAAAAGAAGACTTTTTTGGTCGTTGACAATGAAGAATTTATAAAAGATTTGAATCAGTTTGACGAGATTTATACTATTATTGTATCAGGAAACAAGGATTCTGCCTCCACCAAAATTTCACCTGAAGTACAGACCCTTGAACTTTCTTCCGAATTACCATTGCTTTGAGACATTCAATATCAGACTGACTTCATCCCTGGATCCCGGCTACCGAATTTGCCACACTATCGGATGAGCCGGAATGAAGGAGAGATCTTGCAGAAACATGTGGATGATCTCATCTAGAAAGGCCTTATACGAGCTAGCATGAGTTCGTATGTCGTGCCAGTAATACTAGTCCCAAAGAATAGAGAGTGACACATGTGTGTGGATAGTAGAGCTATCAATAAGATTACCGTGAAGTATCGATCCTATTCCTTGCTTGGAAGACATGTTAGATATGTTGTATGGATCAAAAGTGTTCTCCAAAATAAATTTCAGGAGTGGTTATTATCAGATTTGGATTAGAGAAGGAGATGAGTGGAAGACTGTCTTTTAAGACAAAAGAAAGCCTGTATGAATGGTTGATCATGCCTTTTGGTCTTTTGAATGCTCCTGGCACTTTCATGCGGTTGATGAATCAGGTATTAAAACCCTTTATTGGCAAGTTTGTTATAGTTTACTTCGTTGATATCTTGATTTATAGTCAGACTGAGATCGTGCATCTGGACCACTTAAGGGAGATACTAACGACTTTGTAGGAGAACAAGTTGCACATCAATCTGAAGAAGTGCAACTTCATGACCAGTAGCCTATTATTCTTGGGCTTTGTCGTCAGTGCAGAGGGCATCCATGTTGATGAAGAGAAGGTGCGTGCTATTCGAGATTAGCCTACGTCGAAGACTGTCAGCGAAGTTCGTAGTTTTCATGGCCTAGTAACTTCGACAGGAGATTTATCCGAAATTTCAGCAGCATTGTAGCGCCTATCACTGAGTGTATGAAGAAAGACGAGTTTAATTGTGTGAAAGATGCGGATCGTAGCTTTGCACTAATCAAGAAGAAATTATCCACAGCACCAGTGCTTGCTCTTTCAGATTTTTAAAAGGTGTTTAAAGTTGATTATGATGCGTCCATCATAGGAATTGGTGTGTTCTATCCCAAGAAGGGCTTCCAATTGCTTTCTATAGCGAGAAACTCAACAAAGTTCGATAGAAGTGGACCACATATGAACTAGAGTTATATGCTATAGTTCAGTTTTTGAAGCATTGAGAGCACTATTTGATCTTACAAGAGTTTCTGCTTAATACTGACCATCATGCTTTGAAGTCCATCAATAGTCAGACTACCATCAATCGTATGCATGCTCGTTGGATCACGTTTTTGCAGCGTTTTGCCTTTGTTTTGAAGCACAAGTCTGGGCAGCAGAATAAGATTGTAGATGCACTCAGTCGAAGAGCTGGTTTGTTGGTGACTTTGTAGGAAGAAGTGACTGGATTTGAATACCTAAAGGAGCTGTATGTAGAAGATGAAGACTTTAAGGAGATTTGGAATGTCTGCCAACAAAATCAGTTAGTCAGAGGTTTTCATATCCAGGATGATTATTTATTTCATGAAGATCAGTTGTGCATACCCTAGAGTTCACTAAGAGAGTAGATAATATGAGACCTTCATGCTGGCGAGTTCGGAGGATATTTGGGGCGTGATAAGACGATTGCTTCCATTGAAGAGCGATATTACTGGCCTCAGCTGAAGAAGGGGGATAGAAAAATATGTACAACGTTGTTCAATTTGTCAAGTTGCTAAGGGACAGTCCTAAAATACGAGATTGTATATATCCTTACATGTTCCTTATGCGCCATGACATGATATCTCGATGGATTTTGTGTTGGGACTCCCTAGAATCCAACGAGACATGCATTCTGCTTTTTTGTTGTTGACAGATTTTCAAAGATGTCGCACTTTATTCCATGCAAGAAGATAGCAGATGCTAGTAACATTGCTAATTTTTTCTTTCGGGAGATAGTTCGCCTTTATGGAGTGCTAAAATCCATTACATATAATCGTGATTCCAAGTCCTTATCCTACTTTTGGAGGACCTTGTAGCAGCGATTTAATACTTCACTTAAATTCAGTACTACTTACCACCTTTAAACGGATGGACAAACTGAAGTGGTAAATCACACTCTCGGTAACCTTTTTAGATTCATATCTAGCGATCGTCCGAAACAACGGGATCTTGCTCTGACACATACTGAATTTGTTTATAACTGTATGAAGAGTCGAACTACAGGCAATGCTCCCTTTGTGATTGTATATGGAAGGCTTTCAAATCATTATCTTGATCTAGTTCCACTGCCTAAGCTTCCAGGATACAGTATTCCTGTAGATGATATGGTCGAAAAGGTACATGCTATCCAACAGGAAGTGAAGGAGAAAATAGAGAAGTCTAATGCTAAATATAAGACCGATGCTGATCGACACAGGAGGAAGAAGGTGTTTGAAGAGGGAGATATGGTGATGGCGTTTCTATGAAAAGAGCATTTTCCAGTGGGCATCTACAACAAGCTAAAGAATAAAAAATATGGCCCATGCAAAAGACTGAAGAAGATTAGAGACAATGTTTATGTTGTTGACTTTCCTACAGATTTGACTATTTCTCCTGGTTTCAATGTTACAGATTTGTTAGAGTATTACTCGCCAGAAGAAACAACTCTTCATGCAAGTATAAGATTGGGGTCGAGCTCTTTTCAAGCAAGGGGGACTAATGTAGAACACACGACAGATATATTTATGGAGAAGCGGGACAAACACAAGCCCAAGCGCGGACCCGGTCAAGGAAAATAACTTGCCACGAAGAATGAGTCATATCTTTCAAACCGTAAGTCGGAATTAGACGAATTATATATAAGAATCGCGTATTTTTTCGAGACGGAGTCAACCCAACCCAGAGGCATATCTTTTCATCAATAAAATTTCTCTTTTAATATTTTCTTCGTGGATTCGGAGATCGTTTTTTGTGGATTCAGAGAACACCCTTGGTAGATTCCAAGGTTTTACTTCTGCGCTGCGTTAACTTGAAATTAGCATTTTGAGTGGTTTAGACAGAAGTAGCCCCCAAAATTGTGTTAGTGAATCTCTGCTCATTCTCTAACAAACCTGGGCCAGAGATTGAACTGTGTTAATTTTGTGTCTTTTTATTGACTTTCTTTCTGATACTGTTTTTGTGCTTTGATAAGTTTATTCATTTGTGGTTTTTGCCATGATCATATATCATATTCTTTCTTTTTCTTTTTGTTTTTCTCTTTTCTATTTCTTTTTTTTCAATTTCTTTTCATCATTTTGTTTTCTTTTCCCCCTCTCAGAGGCCGTGACAATATGGCTGTGAAAAATATCATTTCCATACGTATAATGCTATGCAGATGAGATATGAATCTGAATACACTTTGTTATGCTGTCATGGTCGAGTACAAAATAAAACTATGGTCTTTGCCAAATATCATCCATTGATGATGGCGATTTACCTAGCTTTGTTTCTTCATATTGCTTCCCTTTATTTTGACATTACAGTATTTTTGGCTTATAAAGGTGCAATGTTTTCTCTTCTGTCAATATTGAACACCTTGTATTGTGCCTTTGACTCGTACAACTTCTATTCTTTTTTTACTTTTACGTCATGTTCATTAAAATTCATATTTGATGGATAAGTCTGACACTAATATTGCTATTTGTACATGGTGTCCCACATCTCAAGGAAACGTGAATAACTTAGTGGACTATCCGCTGAGAGATGCAGATCCAGAGCTTCATGCACTTATTGAGAAGGAAAAACAGCGGCAATTTAACTGCTTAGAACTCATTGCTTCTGAGAATTTCACATCTCGGGCTGTGATGGAAGCATCCGGTTCATGTCTCACCAATAAATATTCTGAAGGATTGCCTGGTAAAAGGTAAAATTTTATAGATAAGATTATGTCACTATGGTGTTTCCTCTTTACCAAATAATGTTAAGCTTACTAGCTTCTGAATCTGATTGAGATACTATGGAGGCAATGAGTACATTGACCAAGTAGAAACCCTCTGTCAGAAAAGGGCTCTGCAGACTTATCGTCTGGATGAGAATAAGTGGGGTGTAAATGTTCAGCCATTATCTGGTTCTCCTGCCAATTTTGAAGTTTACACTGCTCTCTTGAGCCCACATGATAGAATAATGGTAAGTGAACATCATTGCTTGTTTTCATTCATCTTAGTTTTTCTTCTACAGCCATACGGACGATGGAGTTAACCTTTGTTGTAAATAATATAGGGCCTTGATCTACCTCATGGAGGGCACTTGTCTCATGGCTTTATGACACCTAAAAGACGGGTATCAGGCACCTCAATATTTTTTGAGTCCATGCCTTATCGGCTTGATGAATCTACAGGTTATACTCTCATTTTGTTGATATTGGTGGGTAATATAGTTAGTATACACATTTACTTGTTCCTTTCTCTTAAGTCTTTTCATTCACTTTCAACAGGCTTTGTAGATTATGAAATGCTTGAGAAAACAGCTATTCTTTTCCGACCAAAACTGATAATTGCTGGTGCCAGTGCATATCCTAGGGACTTTGATTACCCACGAATGAGGAAGGTATATATTTTAATCTCTTGCAGGCAACTGAGAAAAAAATATATTGGGATTAGCTTTAATAGTTCCCCTCTTATCAGGATTCTAATACTAATTTATCATGAATTACTAGATTGCAGATTCTGTAGGTGCATTCCTCATGATGGATATGGCTCACATCAGTGGACTCGTTGCTGCTTCAGTTGTTGCTGATCCTTTTGAATTCTGCGATGTGGTTACTACAACTACACACAAGGTGTGAAGTAATTATTATACAGGCATACAGTATTTTCACACTATCTTTGCTTTATTTTTGTTCAACTAGTTGCATCATATAGATGTTTAAGTTTGAAATTCATCATTATTTTCTTTCTTAGATTTCTGATGGGTATTGCTTATGACAGTATTGAAATGCTAATAAGAAACACCCTATTAGGGATACTAAAGTGCTTGAACTCTTTGTAGTAAGAATAATCTCATAAATAAGAGGCATCAAAAAGTAGATTCTGGTCATGCGTTGAAATTTCGACTAAAATGTATTGATCTCAGTCGAGTTTTGTTGGAGAATCAGTAAACTCCATTATTCGGACTCAAATTTTGTGTACGTAGGACCTGTTTTTGATTGAAATGCCATCCGAGGCAATTGAAACTCATGTTACTCAAGTGTGGTAATTGTAGTGTTTTAGGTGGAGCATTGCTACCTTTCTTTCCATTTTGTACACATTGACCTGGAAAGTGTGAGTCAAGATATAACGTTATTCATGGCATAATTTCTAAAACTCTATGACGAATAGGGGAAAAAGTTATTGGCTTTCTAATTTGGTGCTTGATTTAGATTAGTTTAATTATCATCTTTATTTAGGCCTTTTCCTCTCTAGTGATGAGGCGTTTGGAGCACATGGCTGTGAAGATTGGAAATTTTTATGTATATGCTTCTACTTTGACATCATCAACTCCATTTTTCCTGCCCCAAAAAGAAGTCGACATAAGAGGATATTTCCATAAAACCTAGATAATTAATGGCAGGAGTCTTCATTTTGAATTTAAGCACATAAAACCAAGCACATGAAACCAACAACTATCTTTCCTTTTAGACAATGAAGAGCCTAGGAGGAGAAAGTTGATTGCTATAGTGAATTGCAAATGCACTTCTCGAGGAAGTTTGTTTGTCGAGGTTTACAGGAGATATAATTAACAAGCAGCTAGGAAGTACGCATGTAGATGAAACAATTGGATTCTATAATTTTGACTGATTACTGTGACCATGCAAAATGTTTGCAGCATCCATATGAACAGATTACTCTGACGACTTGAACATTGATGCCCTAGCAATTAGTTACCATTAACTTTACTTTGTAGTACTTTGCTTCGGGAAGCAGGGTTTCCCTGTGTATTCAATATTTTTGATCTGATATATTAAGCTCTTGAAAACAGTCCTTGCGTGGTCCTAGAGGTGGCATGATCTTTTACAAGAAGGATCCTGTTCTCGGTGTTGATTTAGAGACTGCTATAAATAATGCTGTTTTTCCTGGTTTGCAGGTATGTGCATTCTGTAATCTCCGTACATGTTCTATGTAGTCTTCCTACTTGTGTTTACAGATGTCATAAGTAATAATATGGAGAACATTTGAATTAAGATCATTGTTTTGCAGGGTGGTCCTCATAATCATACAATTGGTGCACTTGCTGTGTGTTTACATCATGCTCAGTCACCTGAGTTCAAGACTTATCAAAGTCAGGTATTCCATCTTCTCCTGCCTCCTGGACAAGTATAACTATTTATTTTTCGTAGAAACACCATATTAACTGACAATTTTGCAGGTTATATCTAATTGCAAAGCTCTGGCATCCAGATTGACGGAACTCGGGTACAAGTTAGTTTCTGGTGGAAGTGACAATCACTTGGTTTTAGTGGATCTGAGACCTCTGGTATGCTCATGTCCCTTTATTTCTGTGCTTGGTTGTTAATTACTTGGAAGAAACAATCTATTCTATTAATGTCAGGAATTGACTTATAACAATTTGACTAGAGTTTATCATGGCTGTTGGATTGGAGCACGTAACAGAAACCTCAATTGGCAATATTAACAACGATACCATGTCCTATAACTGCTGGCAAAAGAGAAGAATTCTCTAAATCATGGAAGAGTATGAGACGAGAATTCCTGTTCAAAATTCAAACCCTCAAATACAACTTTATCTCTTACTTAGAAAAGAGAGAAGAAATGTAGTATGGATGTAAATCCTCTTTAACTTTACTAGGTCACAACAAAATTTTTCATTAAATAGCCCCTTTTAAAAGCTCTTTTAAAATATGATTATTATCTTTCTATAAGAGAGCAATAGTCTTTAAAATATCTTCTATCTTACGAGTCTTAAATTTTGGAGTCTTTGACCTTGATTTAGGGTAGCTCAAAACAAGTAAGGATAGACAATTAGTCTTCCTTTTCACATACAATATTAGGGTCTTGTGAGATACTGTAAAGGAGGAAAAAACAATCAAAATTTATGCCAAAATAAATAAATAAATCAAGTTTCTTCATATGAGGGTTAAAAAAGCTTTATCCAAGAGCATACTATTATCTCTCGGTTGCTCTCATCCTGGGGGAATTCGTATTGGGACACCAGCAATGACTACAAGAGGACTCAAGGAGATGGATTTCAGAATGGTCGCAGACTTAATTCATGAAGGAGTGCAGATTGCGCTTAAAGCTAAAGCATGCGTCCGAGGAACAAAACTCAAAGACTTCATGGATTTCGTACAGTCTCCAGGTTTCTCTCTTAAGGAAGAAACATCAGAGCTCAGGAGGAGGGTTGAGTCTCTTACAAACCAATTTCCTATTCCTGGAATATAGTAATAAAAGCTCGCTTCGAGTTTGCTTTAGAAAGATATTGCTTTGCTAAAATAAATTATTCACCGTAGCATGTTGCAACAGTCTAAATCCGAAAGGGGTTTTATGTAGCATATTGAAACATTACACCAAATGAAATGTCATATTGTAGTACCATTTTGTTATCTTGACTACTTCTTCAATCCTGATGTGTGGGCTAATGTAAGAATGATCCCTGGCGCCTACGCAATGGGAGATAACAGAAATTTCACATTCGAGCCAAGTGGGAATGACAGATATTTGTGACCTTATACGGATGCCTCATGAATATAGGTAAAAAAATTGAATTTCTCTCGGTGCCAGTGAGATTTTCGTCATTTTATTCCTTCTTTGCTTAAGATTTAACAGTTTTAATCAGAGGTGTATTCTTATTGGACAAATTTTTAAAAGAGGTTTTTTTTAAATTTTATATAGCAAAACCGACCTTATTGGAAATTAATCTGTAAAACCGACCATTTTTTTCGGAAAAGGGTCGGTTTTGCAGCGGTGGTGTTTTTCGAACTACACGGGACTAAAGCAGTTGAAATGCACGGGATTGCCAGTCTCGTGCAATTGGTTTGTGACGGAAAAAGTTTCTGCTTTTTACTCGGGACTATCAGTCCTGAGTAAAAAGCAGAGACTATACGAAAGAAAAAATAAAATACACGGGATTAGCAGTCCTATACATTTCAATTGCTGGTTGAACTACATGGTTTTGCTATTTAAAATTGAAAAATGGCTCATTTTAAAAATTTGTCCATTCTTATTCCGTCAAATAACTTAATGATAAGCTAACTTTTATCCATGCACAGAATTGTATTACGGTGTGTACTCATAATGAAAATTACAAATAAAAAGATTAAGGCAAGGAGAGTTAGAAGATTTCAACTTAATTTTAGATAGAGAAAGAAGAAAAACTATATATAACAAAAAGAAAAATAATAGCAAAGAAGTTGAGAATTCACACTAGGGGTGGAAGTGAACCAAATAATTAATAAATAGTTCGATAATTGTTCGAATAGTATTCGGCCATATTCGATTCGGTAGTTTATTTACCACTACACAAATATTTTTTTAGTATTCGAGCTTATTAATGAATAGAATTTAACCAGATATATATTCGATTCGTTTTTCTATTAAATATTCATTTAAATTTGATCACATCTTATTACTTGTATTATTACACATATGGTGTCATATTTTAACCCACATACCATTTCTACTTAAGTTTTAGATACTGGTTTTAACACTTAAATAATATTAAATATGTTTTCTAATTAAAATTTTGATTTATATATATATATATATATATATATATATATATATATATATATAGAGAGAGAGAGAGAGAGAGAGGATTAATGGGTATCCTTGTCATAAGAGGGGATTTCTCCTTGACGCCTCTAAAATCATATGATTGAGCGATATTGTGGATGATCCACTCCGTTGAACTTGATCTACTATTCTAAAACCCAACACACCAAGTTTGGGGTGAACCCGTCGTCGTTTGACCCTTCATCCACTCGTATCAATTTTAACGGTTTTGAATGAATAGAACTTTTCACATGGCTCGATGGAGGGTCAACGACGACGGATTCACCCCAAACTTGGTGTGTTGGGGTTTTAGAATATGTAGATCAAGTTCAACGGAGCGGATCATCCACAATGTCGCTCAATCATATGATTTTAAGAGGCGTCAAGGGAGAAATCCCTCCTCATGACAAGGATACCCATTAATCTCATATATAATATAATATATATATATATAATAATATATATATATATATCATATATATATATATATATGATTAACATCATATATTATAAAGGAATACATTTTATTTATGAATTCTAATATTATTTGAAAATTAAATTCTTTAACGGAATAAATATACTTTGATATTTTATAAGTATTCGTGAATATTCATAAATATATATCAAATACCAAAATATTCGAGTTCGAATTCAAAAAAGTAGATATATGAATATTAGAATCCACATTCGAATTCGATAATTTTATACAAATACAAATTGTCAAATACAAACACCTTAGTATTCGATTCGATTCGATCGTTTACCACGCCTAATTCACCCTGCTCATTATGTGGGAAGTAACAGCTAACCTTACTAATCCAGATATGGGTGAAATATGTAAATAGGATAGATTCGCGGCGTTTATAGTTAAAACTCCTAAAATATATTCCCTCAGTCGCAGTTCCTCCGTCCTTTCTTCAATTGCAGAGGAAAAAAAAAGCGATTTATAAAAAAAAAAGGGTAATCCCTCCTCTGATCGATTCCTCCCTCTTAAATCTTTTCCACTATTATAGGGATTTTACCACATCATTCATTCGGGTTTCGCAAAATCTATCCGATTCCTCTATTAATCTAATCGAATACATATAAATTTCACATTAGGGTTTATCAAATTTGATACTAATTCCTCTTAATTTCTTGGATTTTCTTTTTCCCCGTCAGAAAATGGCATCTAAGCTTGCCCAGCTTCAATCGAAGGCTTGCCAGGCTTCGAAATTCGTGGCGAAGCACGGGACCGCTTATTACAAGCAGCTGCTTGAGAACAACAAGCAGTATGTCGTTGATCCGCCCACTGTTGAGAAGTGCCGGGATCTCTCTAAGAAGTTGTTTTATACTCGTCTCGCAAGGCAAGATCACTGCCTATGTTGCTTTTTGTTTGTATTCGGCTATATTGAAAATTAAACTTGAATTCTGCGTTGTTGGTGGCTTTTAAGATTAGAGAAAACGCCTAAACTTCGAAGAGTTTCACCAAAATCCACTGAGGCTCCGCTTTATGTCTGGAGAAAATTCAATTCTAGAATTTGATGGGGAATAGAGGGAGGGGGGAACTGGGGAGGAGTTTATTTATGATTTTATTGAGAGATGGGATTTATGTTTTAGAAAAGGGTATCTCAGTTTTTGCATCTTCTTGAAGTTCAAGGGGGTTGCTAATTTTTAATGACAATGTTGCTACTAATGGGCCTGTCTTATCGTACAACTTGTATGCTATGTGAAATACCAAAGGAGTATAAAATATTGAGAACCTGTTCTATTGTTATGACCAGCCTTGAAATCCTAATTTGGTGTATTGATCCTCGAGCTGTCTATTCATGTTGCAAGTTGATAATTTATTGGAATTACCAGCGAGATTTACCGAAAATTGAACAACAGAAGTTTTAACATTGGAACAAAAGAAATTATGAGATCTCTGGAAAATGTTGTCAACATGGAGGTTCTTTCTTTCTCAGACTTACATTGACAATATTTTGCAGTTTGTAGGACTGAGATTATTGATATCACATCCTTTTATTACCTATGATGTGTTCATTTCCTCAAAGATAGGTAGAAAAAGCTTTCCGGTGTAGCCAAACGGCTCATAATTGATATCAATATATTATGGAAGCTTACTCCGCATATAAGGTAATTTAGTATGTAATAATAGAATATAGCAAAATCTATTTATGCTTTTATTTCTATCATTTAGCTGTATCAGATGGTATGAATGTTGCGATAAATTGCAACAAACCTTCCTAATATAAATCTTCAGTAGCATCTCTCCCCTCAATTCGCTGGGGGAAGTGGGGGCTTATCTGCAATTTATCCTTCTTAAAACGCTATCCTTAGGGCGTTAAGTTCTTATAAACTAGTTGAGGGGTGATAAAGCTATTAAAAGTATAGATGAGGGCTTATCTATAGTTTTTTTTTTCAAAACATTATTGCCTTTTTAAGAGAAGTCCAAAAAGTGATGACGTCTATTTTTTAATACTATGGGCGGGTAAACCCCTATTGACATTCCTCCTATTTCACTTCACTCGTCGGATACAAGTCAATGTCATGCCTCTGGCCCATGAGCCCAATAGCGCGATGTAAGCCCTAGGACCTACTTAGTGCAACATGTAGTTTGGCTCAATGCACAACAAAAAATGGATAACTATTATTACAACTTGACTCCCATGAATTACTATTTAAACTAATCTATATGACTACCTATTTGATGCGAGACTATATTTGGGGTATAACAATAACCCCACCTTATATACATAACGTCTTCATCACGAATGATAGCGGTGCATCACAAGATCTGGCGTTTTAAGAGCAAAAGGTGAAGTCAAGGCAATAAGGTCATACATTGCCTGAGGCGAGGGGCAATAAAAAGGCAATCATTTGAGTGAACCAAGGTGATAAATATTTGAAAAATTCATAAGCATTATAAATAATTTGCAAATATCAATAAATAGCAACAAGACAAATTAATCAGTGCTAAAATTTTAAAGTCACTAATCTAATAATTTATAAACCATTCATATGAAGTACTAAGTAACTTAAATAGTAATATTAACAAGTAGTGCTAACATAAATTATTAAGTAGCAAACTTTAAACTTTAAGATTCAAATTGTGGCATGTCCTCAAAATGATATAGGTAATAAAGTACATTACAACAAAAGAGTGGCAAAAAATAGACAAAAAAAAAAGAAACACAAAAATTCAGTAACAGAAACTTTATTAGACACCTTTCACACCCTCAATTTTGAAACAGAGACAAACACCGCGCATTTTGCATCGCATGTCTTAGGAAAGTGTCGAGCCTGAGGCGCCAAGGCAAAATCATGAGGTGCTAAAAGGTGCTCGTCTAGTAATCCTGATCGCCAGACAATACGTAAGGCGCTAAGTTAGAAGTTCACCTCGCCCAAGTGCCTAAGGCGCTAAGATGCATCGCCTTTAAAACACTAACATGATCTCCGCTTGAGTACCTAAGGCGTTAAGGAGCATCGCCTTTAAAACACTGACAAGATCTCCATCAGACGACGTGGATTCTAGAGCTGGCTTTCATTGGACTCATGCGACATAACAGTTAGGCCGTGTAGCATTTAATTTTACACTTTCGGCTAGCTACCCTGGCTTTGATGCCATTCCTCATGCCTCAGGCCCGCAAGCTCGTTCGTGCGATATAAACCTAAGGACCTACTGAGAGCACCATGATTTTTGGCCCAAGCCACCGCCAAAAATGACTACCTAATGTTACACTTGACTTGCATGACTTAGCATATATTCCTCCTACACTTCGATTTCTGATGTGTGACTAAACTTGGGCTGGATTGAGAGTGTGTGAAGGTTTACGAGTGAAGGGTTTGTTTGGCAAATCCAACAAAGACAAGACCAACTATGTATACTCTCTTAACTAGGCTAGAGTTGATCCAGCTAGGGGGTGGATCAATTCTGGCTTGGTTTAAGGGGTTTGAAATGACCTAAAAAAAAGTTAGGCCAGAATTGATCTAGCTTTTCCCAAACAAAAAATAGGTTAAAACTGGCATAGCTTTTCCCAAACGGAAAATAGGTTAAAACTACGCTAGGCTTGAACCTGGCCTAGTTTTGGTGGGTTGTCAAACAACCTGTAAGTCATGAGAGTCAAGTACAATATTGGTTAGGCATTTTTGAGGTGGATTGAGCCAAATGAGTTAAACTTAGTGGGTACTATAGCATATATCACGTTAATAGGCTCATAGCCCCGAGACGTGATGGTTGATTCACTATGTGCATGATAATGTTGGAATTAGAAAAGCATAAGATAATGCAAAAGGCATAGAGAGGTGTTAATAAATTAGGCGGCGCTTCGTAAAGTTGAGCAAGCAAAACTCGTGAATAGTAATAGGCCAATGCGCATCATAGTTGATGGGCCAACGCGCATCATAGTTGATGTTATTGTAGGTTACTAGTTTACTACAAGAATGCAACTGGGGTAAAGAAAATGTGAAAACTAAGGTTTACTAAATAGAGGGGGTAACAGTCTTCTGATCCAAATTATACATGCATGAAAGATTTTCAGTTGTCACCTCTATATCCTATTTGTTGGATAAAAGCCATTCTTTGTCTATCTATTTGCTAGGAATAATGCTAGTTTATTGTGTTTGGCTAGTGCTAGAGAAGGGGACAAAATTTGAGATACTAATATACGAAATGAAAAATTAAAAATAAAGGAATTACTACATACATGTCATATACACATGCAGAGCAACTGGTTTAGAGAGGTTGGATTAAGTCCCATTTTCTTTTGGTTGGTATTGATGAGCTAAAAAGAAAAGAAAACATCAAAGTATTAAGCATTGAATTTTGACTGCTCATAATTCATTTAGTCTACATATTGGTTTTTAAGTGAAATTTCTTGCCTTTCTTTATATCTTCGTTGTATTAATTTTTTTCTTTGTTCTGTATCCCTTTGGTTCTTGCTACATATGTAGTACTAGTGTACAATCTAGACATATTTAATTAATTTGGTTTATTATGATATGTCGATGACAACTAGTTTATGTTATCATTTTTAATGCTAATTTACTATCATTTTTAGCTATCAAGTTACTGATATTATTTCGTATTTGCGAACTCAAGATCTTTGTTATTTTAGGATTAATCCTTTTCTCCAATCTAGGATCTTTGCATATATTATCTTCATCTGGACGTCAAGTGAGTTTTGTTACTGAAAGTGATCTTCAAGATGTTTATTGCTCTTTTGGATAATCAGACGATTAGTGGCTTCAAAAATTAGTCTTCTTTGTGGAAGGTTGTTTCTTTATAGTATAGTTCAATATTGATGTGTTATGCAATGAACAAATTGTGGATTGTTTGGTGATAGATAGAAAAAGGAAATTGACTATGTTATTGAGAGACTTAGTGAATAAGACATAAGAAATTTTTTATCATGTTTATCGACTCTTTAAACATATTGCATTTGAAGCTTATACAATCTTACAAGTTAGCGCGTAGCCACAAGGAACGTGTAAGTTTGGGAGGGAGAGAGGAAAATATAGGGTAAGGGTAAGGAAGGATGGGAGGATAGCTGGGATGAAAGATCAAGAGGGGTCATCTAGTTGTTAGTTATGACTTAGGGTTGTAGAAGAAAAGGAGGGGATTTAATGGTCATAACAATCAAGAATGTGAGCCTAGAATAGTAAAAAGCTGTTCAAATGGGCGTTTAACCAACTGTTATGCAATACAATTTCAAGGTGCTTTAACTAGATGATTACTTTGGGGGGCCTAGAGTACTACTTAATCAAGTTTAAGCATAAGGCACTAGGAACTAGATATTCCCGTGGGCGTTAGGCTTGCCTAGCATTTTTTTAAACAGTGACCAATTGTTTGGATCAGTTTACATTAAATAATGAAGGATTTAACAAATCAAGGATGATTTTTAGAAATAATGAAATTTGGTGAATGTTTTATTTTATAAATAATGAATCTTCGATGATATATCGAATAACCCCCACACCAATATCTAGATGAACATATCTTGATGAAAATGAACATGAAGAACTGTTGTAGTTTGGCTTTTCTGTTAATTGACTAAGCCTAATTCAAGCTAAAGATTAACCAGACATAAATTTTTCATTTACACTTGTCTCATTTCAATCCTACATCCTTATTCCTCTCTTTTGCTGTTGGTTTATCTTTATTGCCTATGAGAATATGAGCAGCACTTTCTTTTCTTTTGTGCAGAAGATTGAGTTTGTATTTTCTTACCAAACTATATAGTAGGACTCCCAAAATTTCGAACCAAGCTATTCCCTTGATATATGTGCATCATGAAGTGCATACAAATGAATAGTTATATGTTTTAAAAGCTTCAACATTCATCAAAGCCCCCATTTGTTTTGATGGGGAGCTAAATTTTGCTATAATTGGAAAGTTCTTTTACAAACTACCAACAGTGCCTTAAACCATTCACACAAAGAAAGGAAAAAAGGAAAATAACATGACCAATCCTAAATATGAGCATACATGCACATGATAAAAAGGAAGAAAATGGAAAAGGAGCAAATGAAAAGGAAAATATCTCCAGCATCAACAGCTGTGCAATAAGCGGCAGTACCTGCTGTTATACGAACAACAACTTTCATCAGTTAAACCATTCCCCTAAGTTGATCCCACTGTTATATTGGCTGCAACTTGTAGCTTTTGTAACTTTTGATTAAATTAGGGGAGTGACTCAATTGATAAGAAGTTGTCATACATAACAACTATTGTCGCTGATTGATCGGGTGTTGAGAGCATTTATTCAAACACCGGAAGAATAAGCATAGAACATGTTGCGACAACCATCTTGGAACATGTCTTGGTTGACAACATATTATGTGGAAAGCTTTGATTCTCTGGTATCAATGACAAAGACGATGGGGGTGGTCAAACCGTAAGAGGAGGGAAGTATTTCCTAGGATTGAACGGATTTAGGACATGATAAGTTGAGGTTGGAATGGAGCGGACGTGTTACGAGGCCGTGCGTTGATGAAACGACGATGAATGCGTTTAATTGTCAAAACGACCAAGTAAAATGATCCTAACATAATTTGCTAATGTAAGTAAAGAATAGTGAAAAGTTGTTCAAATGGGCATTTAACTAGATGGCTACCTAGGGGCCTAGGCTGCCACTTAAGCAATTTAAGCACTAGGAACTAGACATTCAGCTTGCACGAGGAATGAATTAAGCAAACCAAGGTTGTTCAGAAATAATGAAATTTGGGGAATGTTTATTGATGAATAATGAATCTTTGAGGGTGATATATCAAATAACACCCACAATAATATCTAGATAAACATAAAGCTTATCTTGCTGGAAATTGAACATGGAGAACCTACTGTATTCGGCTTGTTTGTTAACTGATTGAGCCTAATTCAAGTGGTAGATTCACCAAACATGCATTTTCCATTTACACTTGTCAACCTCAATCCTACATTTTCCCTCTTTTGCTATTGGTCTATCTTTATTGCCTATGAAAGTATGAGCAACACTAACATTTCCTGTGTGTGAAAGGTTGAGTTTGTACCTACCTACCAAACTATATAGGACTCCCAAAATTTTGAACCACACTATTCCCTTGATCTATGTGCATCATGAAATGTATGCAAATAAGCAGTTTTGTGTTCTAAAAAGTTTCAACATTCATCGATACCCCCTTTCTACTAAGCTAAATTTTGCTATGACTGGGAAGTCTTTTGACAAACAGCCAACAAACAACCAACAGAAACCAACGCCACAAACAACTCACCAAATAAAAAGAAAATAAAGATTACAACATGATCAAATTTAAGTATGAATATATATGCACATGATGAAAAAAGAAGAAAATGGAAAGGAGTAAAAGAAAATGGAAAATGGAGGAGAAAAAAGGAAAGAAGAAAATATGATGGAAAAAGAGGGGAAAACCATGTGTTCCCGTTGAAGAGACTGCACGATAATAAGTTTAAACTTGAAGTTAATAATTATAAAGAAAAAATGCCAGCCTCATCGATAGATGCACTATACAGAACCTCTGTCCATTTTACATCTTCATAATCAGACAGGCTTTCTCGTATATAAACGAGGGATAATCTTCAAGGCTGCAGGTCTTCGTGTTGTGGCAAAGTATAGGTGTTTCTGAGCACAATGATGTTGGGGGCAGGAGGTTTTATGAGTGAGAAACAAGGTATCCGACAAACTTCCTCATAGATTACTCACAATTGTTTAGATGTTATGTCAAAGGTGTGCTCAAACTCATTTGAAAAGTCTCTCCCTTGTTTAAAAGATTTAATAACTTGCATTTCTGTTACTTGCTTTTGATTGATTTAGTGGGTTGAGCATGTGAGTAAGCAGCATTTATCGGGATCATATGTTGATTTCTTAACTTGATTGTTGGCACTAAAATCAATTTTCGTATGGTATATGATCAACTTTAAGTGTACAGCTCATATTTTCAAACCATGCGCTTAAATTTCCATCTTCGTGCACCTCTTCTCTGTGCTTGGACAGAATATACAAATGTCATAGTATGATTTCCTGGAATGATACTTTTTCACCTGTGCCATAGTAGTGAAACCACCTCAGTGTTCTTTGTGAGCATTCTTTCATGCAGATTAAATGTTTTGCTACTTACAGTATCATACATTTGAGATTTATGATTTCTTATTAATGGATATTCTCTTCCTTTGATATTCGTCTATGAATATATATTCATAACAGGGAGAAACTGTGATATTGATACAATTTTCATCTTTCTCCATTATTAGTAATCATCCTCCAGGCAACCTTTCGAAATGTCGTATCTAACATAAAATTTATATCTCTAACCATCTATGTTAAGGTCGTGGTTTATATTCAATAAAATTGGTATGGCTGCTGATTATCTGCACGCTGCAGCATTCCTACCCGACAAGAGGCATTCTGGAAGGAGCTTGATGGCTTGAAGCAAGTATGGAAAAATAGGAAGGAGCTGAAGGTTGAAGATGCCGGGGTTGCAGCTCTTTTTGGGATTGAGTTGTATGCATGGTTCTGTGTCGGTGAGATTGTAGGAAGAGGGTTCACATTTACTGGCTACTATGTCTGATAAAATTACTAGCAGACTTTAACATGCAAAATTTTGTTTTCCTTTGAGAAGTTCTCAAGCTGCTTGGGTCAGCTAGACGAAGTTCAGTGCCAAAATAATTGGATGGTTTTGTTGAGATATTCTTTACTTGCCTTTTTGATGTAATCTGGTTGCATTACTTTGTATCAGTTTAAACTATCAGAAGATGTTTTTTTTTGTTATGAATTTATGGTTTTCCTGCAATATATTCAGCCCTATTTTTTAAAATGTTTTTGCTGATAGCTCCAAGTTTGGAGTTACGTATTCTCGACTTTAAAATGTAGAGCGGCAACACAAACGGCTAGGTGCTTGAACGGTCACTCTGTAGATTACTTGGATGTGGAATGTTTCCAAGTGGACACTGATTAATTGGTGCCTGTTGAGCAAGCTCCTGCATACTTTGCAAGTTTTGAGCAAGCTCCTGCATGCCTTGGAGTTCTAATCCTATCAGAACCTTTCGCAGATGCAGGAGGTATTGGGTGGGAGGTATTGCAAAATAGACGGCAATATGGTCATTTCACTACCCTCATGTGTGGTGTTGAGAACCCCACAATGGGGAGTTCTAATAGGATCTTTAGGGTGTGCCTGGCAACCCAAAAAGAAATGGGCCAATATCAGTCATGTTCTTCGGGAGGGTTGAATTTTCGGGAGAGTGGTTCAACAAAGAACCTATTTAAATGCGCTTTTTAGGCTTAAGAAAATCTGGGTTAGTTTTGCCCAATTTTTTCAAGGCAAGTTCTATTTTCAAAAACGAAACAAGGACCAATTCTAGCCCCGTTATGATTTGTTGCCAAACACACCCTTACTGCTTGTTAATTTATGTCCTTGAACAATTTCATTTATAGGGCGCACGTTTAACACCTGTAAGAGGGTAGAGAGCATTTTTGTAAGCATGGATATCAAGAGAGATTGTGCAACATACTGATGTTACGTGCACGTAATGGAACAAGGAGTGATAGAAAAACCAACATGCAGAATTTTCACATCGGAAGCCCTTGGTATAACAAAGCGATGAGGTGCGCAATCAAGAACTTACGCTGTACTTTCACTGCGGTACATGATGTACGAGCACATTCGGTTTCTATTGTGACTTCGAAAGTGCTTCTTTTGATATGTAAAGCAGAAGCACAAAGGCGAACAGACTAAAGTTCTGGCTGATAAATGCAGACACTTCCATTTATGCAATGTAGACACAGCTTATGTACGAACATCCACAGGCTGAAGATAAAATGCTCTCAGATGACAATAACGGAACTAACGTCTGAAGAATCTGTACTCATTCGATTCTCTGTGCAGTTATTTCCATGGCTTCTACATTCACTGGATCTTTCTTTTGTTGGGACTACTTTTTATTGATTTCTGAATACATTTCTCCTATCAATGGCTTCCACACATGCATTTTATGAACCACTTTGATACCTGATACAATAATGGTTTAATAGTTGTAAAAAAAAAAAAAAAAACTTCCAATTGTAAGTGGAATTCGAAATTTTGAATACCTGACTCCTTGTAAATCCACTTTTAGGAGCAAGCAATTGCTTCCCCCAGTCCTTTGGGTACCTGAAACCATAATAAAAATATTTAATCGAATACCTCTTAAAAAACTACACCTGCAAGGATCGTAACTGTAATTGCATGTAACTGCATTTACGTCTACATTTAACTGAGATATTTTGCATAAACTGCAGTTGTTTATTTCATTTCAATTGGTTACTATAGTCGCAAAAAACCTCCAATGGCAGCACCAACGAGTTACACAGATTTGAGTGTAAAACACACCTGCTACGCTTTCATTGAGGTTTAAAATATAACTTCGACTAGAAGTAAACCCAAGGAAATTAAAAAAAAAAATCTATTACTCCCAAAGAAACACTACAACTATATATGGAACTGGAAATAAAAAAAAAAAAAAAAACTGAAACTGAAGAAAAAAATTGCGGCCGCAATTGCATGACTTGTAATTATATTTGCAGTTAAAGAAATGAGTTAAAGAAACTGATCTAAATGGGCGTGTGAACTCAGGTCCTAGCTATAAACAGGCTTAAAGAAAAGAGCTATATGATAAATAATTTCAAAATATCGAAGATTTAACAAACCAGTGTACAAGAAAGCATACCTAATGAGGCCATATGACTCCTTGTAAATCCACTTTTAGGAGCAAGCAATTGCTTCCCCCAGTCCTTTGGGTACCTGAAACCATAATAAAAATATTTAATCGAATACCTCTTAAAAAACTACACCTGCAAGGATCGTAACTGTAATTGCATGTAACTGCATTTACGTCTACATTTAACTGAGATATTTTGCATAAACTGCAGTTGTTTATTTCATTTCAATTGGTTACTATAGTCGCAAAAAACCTCCAATGGCAGCACCAACGAGTTACACAGATTTGAGTGTAAAACACACCTGCTACGCTTTCATTGAGGTTTAAAATATAACTTCGACTAGAAGTAAACCCAAGGAAATTAAAAAAAAAAATCTATTACTCCCAAAGAAACACTACAACTATATATGGAACTGGAAAAAAAAAAAAAAAAAAAAACTGAAACTGAAGAAAAAAATTGCGGCCGCAATTGCATGACTTGTAATTATATTTGCAGTTAAAGAAATGAGTTAAAGAAACTGATCTAAATGGGCGTGTGAACTCAGGTCCTAGCTATAAACAGGCTTAAAGAAAAGAGCTATATGATAAATAATTTCAAAATATCGAAGATTTAACAAACCAGTGTACAAGAAAGCATACCTAATGAGGCCATAATATCTTTAAAGATTGCAGCACGGTGAACGTGTTCCTTGAAAGGAAACAAATTAAACATAAATTAAGCGGGTACAAATTTTACAAATGTGAAGATTATGTCTTTGATTCGTTCACAAGGAGATAGGGGATTTGGAGATTTCAATTGTAACTTTTTTTTTTGGGTTTAGAATGTTGCATTCAGTCGCGAGATACTTTATTCCTTTTGAAGTCAGAAACCTATAAGTAAGGATGCTACACATTTTCTGTTTCCTTACCGAAAATTATCCTAGGATTGATGTGCCCTCTACCATTCTGACTCTAAATTGGGCTGATCCAAATCCTACAAGTAAAAGAGATCCCCTCCTCAAACTGGTGACTGAATAAGTACTTGTAAATAATAATAACATTCTCCATTGTTATGGCTTCAGCTGCTGCGATACCGTGGCAAAGTACAGTTTTCAGGCCTACTGTCAGCTCGGCATCCCTAGAGTCCAGTGGTTAGGGTTATTGACTTCTGTTGTTGAAGGGGTGAGTATTATTAACTTACATTTGCTAATGTTTCTTTAGTAATACACTTGCTAATGTCGGCGAAAAAATGGGAAGAGGAAAAACAGATATTTACAGTTTTGATGATAAATTGTGTTTAGGAATCTCTCTTTATTGAGTAGTCGGCAAGTTTATGCAATGGATTTCTATTGGAATCTGCAAGCTGGCTACGATCAAAGCAAATTCCTAAGTCTGAGAAGTATTTGAGAAATGCCGTCCTTAGGAGTCCATGCAGTTTTGATGAACGCATTTTGTCTTTTAGGACAAGGGATTACAGAGGAAAATGTGAGTTTTCTAGTGTGCGATCAGACCCTCCTCTCTTGTCCTGCAACCATTCTTTGGCTTTGAGATGATCTTAGAAGTTAGAAGTGCCAAGATATAGAGCTACATTTTCTAGGTTAATTAAAACATAAATATTTGAATTTGAGTTATTTGAAGGCTAGTTTTGTTAGGAATATTGTGGAGATTTATTTGCGGAATTAAACACTAAACAAATAAGGGCACCAATAAGAATATCACACACAAGCAAACACCAAGATTTAACGTGGTTTGGCAAGTCGTGCATATATCCACAAGGCAATATAGAGAGAGCTATTCTACTATGAATCGGGAGTACAATCCCTCAAAGTTACGCTCGAACTTGAGAATTAAGTCATAAGAGAAAAATACAGCGTTACCTTTATGGCACCAAAAACTTAAAATCGTCTCACCACAAATCTCCAACTTCTGCAGAGAAACCAACTACCCTTGACAACATCGTCGTTCTGAAGACATGGGCGTTTGAATCACTGTAATCGGACAACCGAGCTATCCGGAATCTCAACTTCTATCTCCCCCTTTTTTTCTGTTTTTCCTAGAAATCCGTGCACCCCTCCTTCTCTTTTATGGTCTCGGGTTCCTGTACAAAAGATGATTAGAGGGTGGTGTAAATCACGTGCCCCAAATCCTTTAATAAAGGAATTTTATCTCTAGGTCCTTCTTTCCTATTCAAATTATGAATAGATCCATATAAATCCTTTTCTTGATAGGATTCAAGAAATTTGACCTAGTCCTTGTAGACCCCGATTAGGCTAGACCCACAACAATCTCCCACTCCAGTCCAACGAGGGGTATGCCAATGTGTAACTCCTCATCGGGAGTTCATGTTGGCCAATCGCTGACAAAACTCAGTCTTCTCTTTGGAAATGATCTTCGTTAAAAAATTTATTGGGTTTTTATCTGTGTGAATCTTCTGTAGCTTCAGCTTCCCTTTCTCAACAGCTTCTCTAAGTCAATAATATCTCTCCTTAATGTGTTTTTTCTAGAGTTGAATGTAGAATTCTTGCTCAAATCAAAAGCACTCTAACTATTAATGAATACTTGATAATTATTCTGCTGCAAGCCTAACTCTTGCAGAAATCTTCTCAACTAAACTATCTCCTTACCGGCTTCTGTAGCTGTAATATATTCCACCTCTATAGTAGATAAAGCAACGCACTTCTGCAACCTGAACTGTCAAGATACAGTTCTCCCAACAAAAGTGAACAACCAACCTGAGGTAGGCTTCCTGTGATCGAGATCACCTGCCATATCCGCATCTCCAAACCTTGTAGTTCTGGTTTGAAATCTCCAAAACTCAAACACAATCTGGAACTACCTTTGAAATATTTCAAGATCTACTTTACACATTCCCAATAAACTATCTTCTTACCGGCTTCTGATGCTGTAATATATTTCACCTCTATTGTAGATAAAGTAATGCATTCTGCAACCTGGACTGTCAAGATATAGTTCTCCCAACAAAAGTAAACAACCAACCTGAGGTAGGCTTCCTGTGATCGAGATCACCTGCCATATCCACATCTGCAAAACCTTGTAGTACCGGTTTGGAATCTCCTAAACTCAAACACAATCTGGAACT